GTCGAGAATGGGAGCAGGACGGGGGAGGGGGTAGGCGGTCGAGAAGCGGAGTAGGACGGGGGAGGGGGTAGGCGGGTTCTCGTACACCCGCACTATCAGCGGTTAACTTAATTTGCCTAGAGGCAATGCCACGCGCAGTTAGTGTTCTGGGAAGTTCGCTATTAACCATGTAATAGCATTTATATTGATTGGTCTATGTGGGGGCATCCTGGCTACGGCACTAATACGAACCAATTTTCTGCGGGCGCGCGCGCGAGAACACTACGAGAATTATGTTATGGCAGATTTTAAATATATAAATAACTCATACCCACCCTACATCCGCTAGTAACCACTTCTACGGTTTAATATTAGGGCGTTACTTATTAGCATTAATTATTATTAGCATTATTTATTAGCGTTACTTATTAGCAAAGTTTTACATAGCATCTAAGAACCAGCAGCACGTAAACGTCCCTATGTTATACAGGCGCGAGAAGATAGGGACCGAGAAAATAACAAAAACGAATGCCTAGAGGAGCAAAGAAAGGACTACGAAAAGAAAAGACAGGATAAGGAAGCCAATAAAGTTGAACAAGAGAAAAGGGCTTCTTTTAAAGCCAGGGCACAGCAATTCGAATAGGGGATACATAGTATGTTATACAACAGGTTCAAATGCTAGCTCCCTCCACCGATGACAACAGCGATAGTTACATATTAGACATAGCAATCTCCCTTCGTACTTATTTAAACATGCAAGATGGTGTAATTCCAATCTCTTGCCTTAAAACAATGTTTTGTTAAACTGCAAAATCATAACATTGTGCATTTTTGACTCTATGCTGTTCGAAATACTAAATACTACATAACAAGCTTTCAAAAGTAACTTGTCTCAAGTGACAATTTTATTTAACTTCACATCTCAGCCAACATAGTTCAAGGGCAAATGAATAGGAAGAGCCACCTGGTAACGCTAATTTTATAATGGGCGCCTCGGTATGTTTTTACGGTACAATTGTGCAACCAAATAGGGTTGCTATTACTATGCGTTAGTACTATTACTGTGCAATTGCACGCCTAACGCACGAGGCTGCGTTGAAGTGGAAGGCTAGCTTGAAACTGCAAGCCTCGTCTACTCTGGCGCGCATCAAGTCGCAGGTCACTCTACAAGAACCCCATCTTTTACAAAACCCCGTCGAATCGCCCTCCAACAGAATGAATCTGTTTGACAGTGAATTAGTTTGTGGTTCTGACCAGTCACTAACGACTACTGCCATTTCACAGCAGGACCTGCTCATAACTAGTCACGCTAGGTATAAGCTGGAAGAAATACTGCCTTAAATACTAATTGAAATAGAATCTCGAGTAATTTTAAGTAAAAGGGGTCATCAACCTACCGTAGCACCAAAAACTCAGTAGAAACACTAAGACATGTTGTTCACAGCCAGTTGAGTTGATCTAGCAGCAGCAAGAGCACCTCTTGTCGCATGTCAACACACCTGCGCTACACACATCAGACTCTCTGCCATCACAATACAAGCACACATTTCGTAATAATTAAATTCCCAATATACATTTACACGAGCGGGTCTTCGAAAATTCAGATTAGAAGTTTAAACACGTAAAAATCTGTGGCATCACATGCCAATTCTGCTAGATGTTGCTTAGTAAGCTGGTGAAATGCTCATTCGCTGAACTATCAGTGAATTTTTTTACCGCTCAGTAGTTCACCTGTTAGGCAACCAAATGATTCACCGGAGAGAACAAAGATGTTCAGCAAAATTTAGAACCGAAGAAAAGGGTTGTTCTAAGTTATGAAGAGATTCAGTTCCGAGTGTCGGCCACGGATAAAGCTAGACTCCTCTCACGCGCAGGCAGCTAACCTTGCTTTACTCAGAACACACCTCTTCAGCTATTTATATACTACCACAAAATCCATCTAAAATGAAACATCATAAAAAAAATACGCCTACAAGCATCCATCATTTTCCCATACAAAATACAATTTCGATAAACAGCATCGGCACCGACGTACGCTGAGTAAATAAATGTCCAGGTACACCTGCTTCTGTCCAAAGGAAACCTTCACATTTTTTGTTTCTAATGTCAGAAGTGATGCACGTAACGAGTCAACACCTTCAGACAAACAATACGATATATAGGTTCCGTGTTTACCCCACCACGCACAAGTGTCTCGGTAATGGCGTGCTGGATTAGACAACGACAACCTCTTCACAACAGGTCTCGGTTGTGGTGAACACAAAAACGCATTTTTTTTATATATAAATATAAAATACATGTATATTGCTTACAAGAATGGTGAGCCATGTAAATCGCACAAAAAATCCAAGTCTCCTAATTAACCAAGCGAACCAGGTGGGCACGCGGCACTTACATATGGAAGGACTTACTGCACTTCAGCTAATGCTCCAACATGCTCGACGCACCCGCTGCTAAGTTTGCCAGTGGCAGTGAACCACAGGCGTGACGTAACATGTGTGGCTGTGCATATGAACCACTAGTCTTTACTTCACAGAGCACTACTACACACGTACACGCGTGTAATAGTTCATAACACTAGGTGGTCAAATGACACCGGAATTCAGTAGATAAAAAACTCATACTGGCTATTTTATTTAGCATTTCTCTTTCACATTGTTTGACATTAAAATGGTTCAAACATAGAGCAAAAACTTGCAAAACACTTGATAATCATTTATTATAATGGATAATGAATTTATTTCAAAAACAACACGTTGTCTATGAAGACATGCCCTAGTTAAACTTCAGCTGCAGGAAAGACCCAATACGCATGGTAAACTACCCAAGACCCTCCCAATCCCACAAAAATCCTATATCATCTGTACCAGGAAATATTTCATGAATGAAACAAGTACTCCTTGGCCAACGGTAATATGGGGGTTCATCCGATAGAACCAGCCCACAGATGGACACTGCACACAGTGGCAGGCCAGAGATGCATACTCCAAGCACATCAGCACAATCCCTCAAGCCTCCAAGGCAAATGTGCCCGTGTTGCCCTATGGCGACGCCTCTGCTACAGATACACGCGTAAGAAAGTAGAGCTCTTGTGCTTTCGGCAGAGGGAAACAACATCAGGTCTGTTAGAAAATGGACTGCATCATTGTGTAACACGACCCCTGGCTGCGTCTCATCGATCTAATTATAGCCATAATCTTCGTAAAGAGAATATGTACAAATCAGGCCATGATTTCTCAAAGAGAATCCCCAGTCTAGATCCTTCCTGTCCACCGATAAGCACGGTGTTCGCCATAAGCACTAGTCTGACGACAAGACCACCCATCCACACAATAGGACCAGGCAGAAATGGTACATAATCTCTAGATTATTTTGCAAAACAGAAACTGATAGCATCGTAGTCAGCATGACACAGGAGGCCGTCATGAAAAGCAGTCAACATGTAGTATTTGTAAGAGATGTTGATAGAAGATCATTTGATGAAGAGTTATCGCGATAGTTTGCTGACCAATGCCGAGGATGACAGCTCACCAATAATTTGTTTGAGTAGCAAATGGGAAAACAGTTAGCGCCTGTGCCTGGTTGAATTATTTCTTGTCACTGAATGTCTTTACTGCGATAGCACATTCGTTGTCCATGGCCTTTAGAACTGTAACCTGAAAATACAAGAGCACACATTTTACCAGGCGAATGCATCAAATGTGTTGTATGGCAAAAGGTTCATTAGAGAAAATGGCAAAAATTAAAATTCCATAATTTGGTGGGGGAAGTGTGTGAGCAACTGCTTGGGTAAACATCTGAAGCAACAGAATTCCATGCTTCCAAAACACATACCAGTGCTAATTAGAATGATTGTCACAGAGAGGGCTAATAATACCCCCCACCCCCGCTTTGAGCTGTTATGTATTGTAATTTGTAGAATTTGTCAACAAACGGTTTCATGGGGAAAATCAGCTGCCACAGAAGGCGCAAGCAAACGCAGAGTGAAACATGAACAACATCTAGCACATACTCATGCAGGGGTAGAAATTAACTTTTAAACACGGAAGTTCAACGGGACTCCCTACACTCAAAAAGAGGGAGTCCGCAGCAAAATGAGGGAGTATGCAGTCTGAGGTTCAAAATTAAAGATATTACTAATAACGCATGTGCTTATTTTTAAGATTCATGCGGTTGCACGTCTGCCAAATTTTCTCTGGACATTAGCTGAAAAATACGGTAATTCCGCGAGGCTGTGCTCTGGAACGAACTAATTAGTATGGCAGCATTTTTAAGGAGTCACACGGACTCCTGCATAATCAAATCAGGAAGTCGGACAGTAAATATGGGAGTATTTGCCTCCGGACTCCCGCTAATTTCGCACCCTGCACACGCGCCACGCACACACAGGATGGAGGAGAGTGGGAGGAGAAAGAGAAAGGGGTTGAGGGAGCGGGACGAGGTCGAGAAGAAGAGAGAGAGAGAGAAGAGAGAGAGAGGAGACGAGGGGAGGAGAGAGGGAACGAGCGCAGGGAGGATCGATAGCCGTGAGAGGAGGTGATTAAAGACCGAGAGAAGGAGAGAAGAAGAGAGACGAGAGACCCTGGAGACTGAGACGATCGAGGAGAGGAAGAGAGAGATGAGAGTGCAGCAGAGAGATGAGGGGAAAGGAGGACGAGAGAGAGAGAGAGAGAGAGAGAGAGAGAGACGAGAGAGACAAGAGAGAGAGAGAGCGAGAGACATGAGAGAGAGAGAGAGAGAGAGACGAGAGAGAGAAGAGAGAAGAACGAGAGAGAGAGACGGAGAGAAGAGAGCAGAGAGAGAGAGCCGGTCATAAAGTTAAAGCGAGGCGCTAAGATCATCTTCAGATTAAGAGAAAAGTGACGAGAATTTTTAATTCTTTTAACTTTACGAAGTTTCTGTTAACGCTCTAAGAGAAAAAGTTAATGTTAAGGGAAATGTTAAGACTAATTTGTTTCTGACAACGGGCCCCAAGGCATTTGATTGTATGCGAGTAGTGGCTCGGCAGTTATGTATTAAATAATCCACTAGATGGCGTCAGCATGTCATATATAATCAAATGGGTTTAATTACGGAAAACGGGCATAAATCTTTCCGAAAATGTCGGACCAAAAAAATTCCAACTACCTTGGGTACTGATGTGTACCAAATATGGTTGAAATCGATTAAGTACTTTTCGATGAGATCTGCGCACAAGGTTGGTGTTGGACAGACAGACAGACAGACAGGGTGATTCCAGTATACCCCCCCCCCCTAACTTCGCTGGCGAGGAAAAAAAACACAAATAAACAGCCATCTATCAGACAACGCAATCATCATCTTGAAATTAAGCTGCAATAAATTAAGCTCAAACACACCATAAAAATCAATTGCAAAATAACACTAGCTACTATCATATTTAAGCATATTGTGTTCACATTTTGTGATATTGTTTCCATTCAGGGCATGTCCACGGGCTAAAGACATACAATATGCAGGGGAACAATTGCCCGCAGGTAACACCTGTCCACTTTAGCGAGCGGGAGTATAATGGTTGCAAAAGCAATATGTAAACTGATGCTTTTTTGTGGCATTTCCTCGGCATCTCGCTGCCAACTAACCAGGAGGCTCTCTTCGCCAGTGAATCGATCGCCGATCTCCTTGCCGAGAGAGTCCTCAGTCAGCTTCAGGTCCTCACGAGTATCGCCGCTGTCGTCCAAGAGAGCCATGTAGCCGTCCTCATCGATGTTCACGAGCTGATACGAAGCGAGAGCAGACAACAAGTTAGACAACTTGCCAGTAGCACCTCTACACACAAAACAAATCGCCGCCCAAGGCTTACGTACATTCAGTGCGCATCTGTCACAACTGCATTCTGCATGGTGGATTTAAAAATGCAGACACATGGCTGAGTAAAGATAGCTCTAGTTTTCTTACTCAGCAGATTTTTTCATTCACTTCTCACGATCCTTAACTGCACATGTCATCCAGGCGCCTTTAGATACCACAAGTATGTGGTGCCTATACACAAGCAGAGATATGTTCCTTTATCCAGCAATTGCACACCAACAGGAAATCAGTTATTCCAGTAATGCATAATTTGCTGGAATACTTGATGAAACTATAATTTTTCAGCAATTACACCACAACTCTGTATTACCACAGGAGCCAATTCTTTCACAAAGAGGTTTTACAGAGAGGTTAGGCATAGAAATTACATACTGAAGAAAATGCCGAAAACTTATTGACCGAAGTCAGGAATAGTAGATATTCACACGGACAATTGGCCACGAGATTTGGGATTATGGCGTGACAGCCAAACAGGTATCCGTGCCTTAAAACACATTATTTTACTAATACAACTACTACACTACAACCATAAACCTGCATTGCAGCCCAGTAAGCTACTAATTGATTGTCTTACCATCCGGAGACACATATACAACAAAACATTACACAACAAGAGCCGCAGAGCATCTGGGCTCATCTGAGTTCTGTTGTTACGGTTATAAATGTAACATTAAGTCGTGCGTAGTGACACCTTTGTTAGGCGTAGATATGCAGATACGCAGTTGCGTACACATCATTTCAGCAACCTTCTGCATTCCTCCCAAATCCCATTGGTTGATACAAATCGCGTGCCTGAAACTCCTTTTTTATGGTGCATTGTGACCCTAACCCTAACCCTATTAAAACAAAACAAAAATGTAATTGTTGTAAAAATTATTTGTTGTTATGAAATTGTTGTAAATAAATCATGTAAATATTTACCTTAATTGGAAAGAAATAGTTAAACGAATAAAGATAGAAAAAAACAGAAAACAGGTAAATAATAAAAAATCTAATGGGATTCGATCCAAGGACCTTTGAGCCATAATCCTGTGATGTAGCCGTTCGGCTATCGAGGCATATTGGCTTTCCAGATTATGGATGTGCCATGAATATGAGAACACTGTGAAATCATTGA